GAAAGGCAGATCCTCGAACGCTGATTGTACTTCTCTGGGGAATCCTGAGAGCTGAAGCCAAGATGATTGCCTCATCACTACTGCAGAGGCCAAGGATCTGGCTGCTATACCTGCAGAATCTAATGCAGCCTGTAGAGCTGTTCTAAATATTAAAGCTCCTTCCTGTAAGCTAGCCTTGAACTGATCCCTTTTGTTATCTGAAACTGATTCAATAAAATTTGCCAGCTGATCGAAGGCATGGTGGTCATATTTTGCTAGTAATGCTGCTTAATTGGCTATTGGCAGCTGGAAGCTTTGCTGATAAATATGTCTTTCTGCCCATCATGTCCAGTCTCTTCCAGTCCTTGTTGTAGGGGACAGTTCGGGTAGCCTGTTGTATGCCCCTTTGGTTAACTGTGTCCACCACTAATGAATACAGAGATGGGTGGGAGAAGAGAAATTTTGGTCCTTTTGGAGTGACACAGTATTTTCGATCTGACCTCTTGCAGGTTTGTGGTATTGTGGTCAACATTTTCCAGATGTTCTTGGCCGAGTCCATGACAGCCTCATTCACTGGGAGTGCTAGCTTCATGTGTGGAGACTTCTATAGTATGTTTGTGAGTTTGTGTTGCGTTTCTGGCATGTCCGTCAGGGAGATCTCTAGTGACTCAGCAACTCTCTTGAAGAGTTCCTAGAATGACCTGAAGTCATCTCCAGCCGTTGGTAGAGGAGGCATAATCGTATCAGCAATGGAAGCTGATGCCATATTCAGAGAGGAAGAAGTAGGTATGTGATCATCATACGTACTGTCCTCCCCGTCTTCCACCAAATCTGAACTGTCTCTGTCTGGGAAGTGTTCAATAGTAGTGCTTGGCTTTGGTGCCAGAGAAAGGTACTGTGGTAGCTGCATCTTCTACATCTGCTGTGTTCTATATGGAGCCCATGGAACCCAGTAAGGCCAGTTTGCTGGGATAGGAGGTGGGAGCCATTGCTGCGATTGCCTGTGATGGTTGGGCTTGGGTGAAGAGTACCATTGTGTGTATATATTGGTGTGTACCTCCTCTTCATCCTCACTGAACACCTGTGCTATTGATGTGGCAGGTGTGAATGACAGGCTATGCCTTGATGTATGTGGGGTCCCATTGATGCCAAAAAGGGGTGAGCCTGGTACCAATGTGATTAAGAGATCCCCGGCAATCGTGAATTGAGGCATTGGTGTTTGCTTTTTGTGTTTTATCGGCACCAATTGTTTATCTGGTGCTGGTAGCTCTGCTGCGTTGTTCCTTGCCACTTCTATGAATGGCTTTGTCGGTGCTGATGGCACTGTAGTGCTCACTGCTCATTGTTTCCAGCGTGGTTGTGTTGTCGTCGAATGCCCCGCAGTGGTGTCCGTTGCCGCTTCCCAGCACAGTTTTATCTTTCCTGCAGCCGGTGCCAATGGCTTTGTGCTCAGTACTGGCTTGAAGGGTTTGTGTTTTGCCTCCGTCTCTGCCTTTGTTGTGGTGCAAGCTTTTAGGTTGGGGTCATGGCCTTTTTTGGTGCTTGTCCCATTAGCATACTGCTGCTTTGACACCTTTATTGTCAGGGTTTTGTATGCAGTGCTGCTATGTAGGGAGTGCTTCCTTGAAGGGGAATCTGTCCCTGAGGAGTAGTGACACCTCTTCTTGGGCTGTTGCGCCTTGTCAAGGTCTCTTGCGCTGGGCATAGTGGTAGGTGAGCTGTCTGATGCCACCCCTGGTGATGGTTGTATATGGGGGGGAGGGATAGGGGAAACAGTGTGCTCTGGGTCTGAAGCATGATGAGTCATCTTCACAAACTGAATCGTTTTTAATTTTAGTTCTCTGGACCTTCTCGTTCTTGGTTAGTTTACTGCAGTGAGGACACTGTTCCCTCACGTACTCCTCCCCCAAACAGCAAACGCACAGGTCATGTCCGTCAGAGACTGATACAGACAGCTTACAGCTTGTATACCTTTTAAAGCCAGGCGATCCTGGCATGACCCAGACAGAGTATGTTTCAACGTGTTGTTACCACCGAGAGTTCAATGTTCTGTAATCTAATATACTCCATTTTAATTAGTAACTAATAAAGAATTTTCTTTTAATTTTAAGGTAACGAACTAACAACTATTTACTACTACTATAACTTTTGTGGTAACTGTTGATCTGACTATATACAAGAAAAAGATTAGTCGTGAGTTGAAGTGGGCAACTGCTAGACTGTGACCGGAGCTGGCGGTGGTTAAAGAGGAACTGAAGGCAGCCAGCTGTGCCTGCGGAATAACACTCTCAAACCACTCGTGCTGGCACTCCGCATGACACCAGCCAGGGGCACTGCTAATACAAATCTCTGATCGGAGTGCAGTGATGCTGATGCACCTAAGGTGGAGCACCCACGGGAACCCTCGAAGAACAAGTGGGGTTTCGCAGGGGTCTGTTTTGGGACCGGTTCTGTTCAATATCTTCCTCAATGCTTTAGATATTGTCAGGGCTCGACAAATCCATTTATGTACTTGCCCGTGGCGAGTAGATTTCACTTGGTCGCCTGTTTACCAGCGGTGCGCGCATGCGCAGTGCAGGTCTGGTGCATGAACGGTGCCGGGCTGGCGAGTGGATTTTGCTGCGGTTTGTCGAGCCCTGGATATTGGCATAGAGAATATGCTTATTAAGTTTACAGATGATACCAAGCTGGGAGAGGCTGCAAGTGCTTTGGAGGATAGGGTTAAAATTCCAAATGATCTTGGCGAATTAAAGAAATGGTTCGAGGTAAACAAGATGAAGTTTAATAAGGACAAATGCAAAGCACTCCACTTAGGAAAGAACAATCAGTCTCACCCATACAGAATGGGAAGTAACTGTCTAGGAAGGAGTACTGCTGAAAGGGATCTAGGGGTCAGAGTGGACCACAAGCTAAATGTGAGTCAACAATGTGACACTGTTGCAAAAAGCGCAAACATGATTCTGGGATGCATTAACAGGAGAGTTCTGAGCAAGACACGAGAAGTATTACTTCCGCTCTACTCTGCATTGATTAGGCCTCAATTGGAGTATTGCGTCCAGTTCTGGGCATCACATTTCAAGAAAGATGTGCAGCAATTGAAGAAGGACCAGAGAAGAGCAACAAGAATGATTAAAGGTCTAGAGAACATGAGCTATGAGAACTGGGCTTGTTTAGTTTAGAAAAGACTGCGGGAACATGATAGTGGTTTTCAAATGCCTAAAAGAGGAGGAGGGAGAAAAATTGTTCTCCTTGGTCTCTGAGGATAGGACAAGAAGCAATAGGCTTAAACTACAGCAAGGAAGGTTTAGGTTGGATATTAGGAAAAACTTCCTGTCAGGGTGGTTAAACACTGGAAAAAATTGCCTATGGAGGTTGTGGAATCTCCATCTCTGGAGATATTTAAGAGCAGGTTAGATAGACATCTATAAAGGATGGTCTAGATGGTGCTTGGTCCTGCCGTGAGGGCAGGGCTCTCAAGGTCCCTTCTAGTTCTAGTGTTCTATGTTTCTATGAAGATGCAGAAGAGTTGCTGACCAGTTCACCAGAGGGACAAAGAGTAACAGGAGGTAACTTTTAATCTCCAACATGACCTGAATATGGCAATGCAACCTCACTGCTTCATTCTTTAGTGGGCCGCATGTACTTCCCCATACAATATTCCTAATTCTATCTCCCACAGACACATCTAGGGAATACAAAGTACATGAGTCCATTGGCAGAAGGAGTTGAGGTGGACTGTATGATGCTGCTATTCCAGGCAATGGAAGCTGGCACCATCACTCTAGCCATCTGCTCTCTACCCTGGTGAAGAAACTGCTCTACCCCACTAATGTCTACAAATTCACATTTGCCAATACCCAGCTAGGACACAGATTTTATGTCAACAGAGCAGAAAGAGGGTGAATTTTAAGTGCCACTACCTTAGCTGCTATTCCATGTTGTACTTTTTATAGAATTATAGTGATGCCAGTCTGCCCTTCAAGGATAAAAATGAAAAACAGCTGCAGCACAGTGATAGTATTTGATAGATAATAGAGACTAATGCAATTAATATTTAAAAGGCTATGAGAAAGGAATTTTAAGGCTAAAAAGTGAAGCACTCATGCATCAGAAAATGACAATTAAGGCTGTGCACTCAACTCTTCCCCTAATATGGGTGTGCAGAGAGTACAATGTAGTATTTGATTGCAGGATTACATACCAATTTTTCTAGAGAACCACTGTTCTCCTTCAACATACAGAACTGACAGTTCACAGTTGAATGAAGCAGCTCTTTCATGCTTATTTTTATTACAATTGTTCAGCTTATGGTCCCTTTCCCCATATGCTGTACACCAGTCAACTCCTTCACAAAAACAGGAAAGGAACCTCTGCTTTATTCACTGGATAAACTTACCTCCTTCAGTTGACATTGTCCAGCTTCTGGAGTGAGCAAGGTACAGGTCTTGTAGAAAGTGATAGTATAAGGATCATGTAATTAGACTATACAGCAATTAATATGCATAAAATAGGCATGGGTCAGGAAGTAGCATATGGACTGCCTTACCCTTAGCATTCCCAAACTTGAGTCCTACACAGTTTTTAAACGCTTCATTTCATGGAGATTTTTAGGTTAAAAAACCTGATGAAATTTGATCATACAAAGCTACTTACTATATACAGCATAATTGCCCTTTACTGCCTAATGCAGAATCAACTTGGACAGGGTTTCTTCACAGTCAAGTCTCATTCCAAATGCACCTCCACATGTCATTTTACATCATAAAGTTCCTCTTCACTTTCTTATATGGTTCCAGATAACGAAATAGTAAGAGTACATCCCGAATAGGAATTTCCACTTAGATACATACATATGCAAGTGCAATACCAGGGGAATATTGGCAAATCATTAGTAATGAAAAAAAAATGCATGTTAACAAGCTGTTTTTAAATCTTAATTCCTCAGCCAAATCAAAAAGGACTTTCATCAGATGTTATCTATTACTTAGGACCAGCATCCCTGACAAATTACAAGATTCTTCTATAGCTTGCCAAGACATTAGAATGGGTCAACGTGCTTGCTTGTTTGTTTTAAATGGTCAAAGTTTTATCCCTTCACTCTTTGCACTTGAAAAGGACTAGCTTTTCATAAAATTTATGCCCAGAACAAGAACAAATGTGCAAAATTTTAGCCCAAAAAGGTAACAGTTTTGACAAAGTTATAAGCAATTGAAGAAAGCTAGAAAGGTGTTCCTATACCTCACCAGCACCATAACAACTAGGAGTTTCAGCTAAGAGCTCTGCCACAGTTTAAGAAGCAAGAAAGCAGGCTTTAGAAATTAGCGGTCATCCAAACTCCCAAAATACAGGAAAAAATAGTCTTTAATAGGCAGAAAGACTGCTGGCAGCTAATCTCTGAAAAACCTAGGCCACCAAATATTCGCCTTCAAGACATTAGTCAAAAGAGACTACAGTGATAGGAGGGGCCTTACTAATCTTCAGGATCCCTGCCCTCCCTCCCCATCAAAAGACATTAGGAAAGATCTACTGAAGGGTACAGGTTAGAATGTGTTTTTACCCAAAGAAGGGGGGATCCCTTCAGCTGTTCTCGACATATTGATATTCAAAGTCTTTCTTTATGTGAGTACCACTTAAGCCCAACCCTCTCATTACATACTCCATATCCACATTTATTTCTAGCTTGAATCTTACATGTTGCTCAGGTTCCAGGAAGCTGATGGATTTGGCACATTGTTAAATACATGAAGAGTTGTTCATGGGCTGGAGAAGCAGCAGAAGGACTGATCAATATCAATTCTGTATTTTCCCCCCAACTGAAGAATGGAGTCCTGGGATAAGAATAATGAAGTTTTCATACTTTAGTTATTTGTAAATGCTCATGGCCTGTGGATTGGCTCTTTTCAGGAGCCTTCTGAGTTGGGATAGAAGGGCCTCTGGATTGTTCCACCTCACACTTACTCAAGTATGTCTGCAGACTGCATTGAGCCAGGTTTTCCATTGTCATCTGTTAGAATGAAAGAATTTGTCAGATTAGTTCTAGAGTAACTAGCATTGGGATTTTATGGAGTTCAGCCATTGAGTGTAAATGTAAATCCTCACAGTCCACCCAACCTACTGCCAGGAGAGGCTCACTGGCCCCTGCACTGCCCCACACATACACTGTTTACATTATCAACACAGGAGACTGATTGGACTATGAAATCTGAGCAGCTCTGGAGACAGGACCACAAACTCTAGGAGTGCCAAGCAGTCCAGCACAGATACTTGTATATATCCCAACACATGCACACACACACACGCACTCATGTCCTTTTAGCCACTGTGGAATCTCAGTTCCCTCCATGCTCTTCCTTCTCCCTGAAAAGACAAAGAAAGCCATTCATCCTCACCTCCTGTGAATCAATCAGCAGCATATGTTGGAACCTAGTCACAATCCCACTCCTTCTACAAGTCAATCATGAATGAAACTGGGAAGCACAGCCAACATATTGCTTCAGTCCCTTTCCCACCAAAAATGGGTTTGAACTATGAAGAATCAGTCACTTTTCTACAGGAACTTCCTACCTATAATTGCGCTCAGTAGCTGCAGGAGGATGTTCAGGCTGACATAAGACATTTTCAGGAGCTCTCTTCCCCAAATGAAACTTCTATGGCCCATCCTGAACATTTCTACCAGCCTCTGTGCCAGGGGTGGCTCTAATCCTAATTAACTGCTGGACCAAATTTGGTGACAAATCCTGGTCATGTGCCACCTGAGGCACATTGTGCATATGTTAAGAAGAAGAATCATCAGTTCTTCCAGCACAGTTTCCCTATTAGGGTTATACAGAAAGGGGATCCCAAAGCAAAAGGCTATGTACAGATAGATCAGCATTCCCTCCAACAGACAGATTAAGACTAAATAATTCCTGAGGATGTGCACCCTCAACTCCATGTGCTGAATCTCTGCCACCCCCTTGCCTTGGAATGAGCTCTACAAAGCAGTAGCAGTTATGTACATGTATCTCCGCTCCTTTACTTTGGAAAGTGTCCATTCAAAGTCACAGGCAAATCCTGGAACAGACAGGTGGGGGTGTCCTTAGGCTGACTCCCCAGCAGCAATGGAGCCTGCAGCTTTCTTCTTAGGGCGAGCTTTCACACTCTTTAATGGAGGCTGCAAAAGAAAACAGAAACTTCTGTTCAGTTCATGTAGAGCACAAGTACAGAGCAGAAAGGAAGGGGAAGCATACAGCAATACAACACAGCAAGGAGGATTGGCAGAACACAAGGAGTCCATTCAACCCAATGTGCTGACCCCTTAAGTATGGCTGATGGGACACAGCCTGCTTAAAACGCTGAGTTCAGCTTGATATTTAACTTTTAGTTTTTTGGTCAGTGCCCTGTTTTCTGTTGTTTAGTGGGTCTTTAATACAACGGGGAAATAAAAACCACTTTAAATCACAGGAAAATGTAATAGGAAAAATACAAGAATCAGCATGGAGCCACGGCAGTAGGAGTCACTTTCTGAGAGCGAGAGTAGTTTCAAATCAATCATTATGCTCCAAGCCAACTCTTCTGTTTCTAAATAGTATCTGCAATTCTGCTCTTCCAGAAAGAGAGCCATTAACATCTTAGACTAACTTGTAAACTCTGCTTCAACTGCTTTCTCCACAGCCTTAGGAAGGGGAGGGGATTCAGTGAAGACTTGACACCACTGACAGAGTTGAGAAGTTGCCCTTAGCATGTTTCTGACAAAGAAAAGAATTTCTACAACAACGTAACAGGAAACTGGCTTTGAAAGCTCTGAAGATCAAGCAAACAAAACAAGTCTTCCTGAAAAGCACTTTGCCTTCTGTTTCCATCATGATGCACCATAGGCTGAAGCCAGAGAAGTAGGGTTGCCAAATCGTTTCAGAAAAAATACCAAAAGGAAAAAGGACCCCAAGAGTTGTTAAGCAAAAAAACAAAACACAAAAAAACCCAGTGTGGCACTTTTAAAAAAAGCACGATGAGGGTTTTTGGCCCTAACTGGCTGTCGGCGGCTGCTCGCCATCTTGCCTCCGTGCACAGGGCTGGACAGCTCCCCTGCAGAACCCAGTAAGCACTAAGGTTGCCAGGCAGACTCCGTATTGAGCTGGACAGCCCAGGATTTTCGTCTCCTGGCCGGGAAAAATATCAGAAAGTACTGGACATTTCAGGTGTCTGGTATTTTCTGAATTTTTTTACTGGACAGGAGACAAAAATACTGAACTGTCCAGTTCAATACCGGACACCTGGCAACTCTGTAGAGGAGCTTCTAGGACAGTGTTTCTTAAACTGTGTTCCATGTGGCACACCAGTGTGCCACGAGGCAGTCGGAGGTGTGCTGCGGAGAACAACAGAATTCAAAATGACAGCCCTTAAAGGGGCAGGCAAAATTTTTTTTCCTCAATAACTTCCCTCAGACCTTCCCTCCCCTAACAAAAAAAATCCTTAGTGTTCCTCCCCAAAAATTATTGTTTCCCCCTCACCAAAAATTATTGTTTGGTGTTGCTCGGTCTTAAAAAGTTTAAGAAACACTGTTCTAGGATCAGAAATAAAGGCAGGTTTCAAGCATCTCATCATACCATTTTGATAGGATAACAAGTCTTGTGATAAAGGAGAAGCGGTGGATATGGTATATCTAGACTTTAGTAAGGCGTTATACGGTCTCGCATGAGATTCTTAACAATAAACTAGGCAAATACAACTTAGATGGGGCTACTATAAGGTGGGTGCATAACTGGCTGGATAACCATACTCAGAGAGTAGTTATTAATGGTTCACAATCCTGCTGGAAAGGTATAACAAGTGGGCTTCCGCAGGGGTCTGTTTTGGGACCGGCTCTGTTCAATATCTTCCTCAACAATTTAGATATTGGCATAGAAAGTACGCTTATTAAGTTTGCAGACGATACCAAGCTGGGAGGGGTTGCGACTGCTCTGGATGATACGGTCATAATTCAAAATGATCTGGACAAATTGGAGAAATGGTCTGAGACAAACAGGATGAAGTTTAATAAAGACAAATGCAAAGTGCTCCACTCAGGAAGGAACAATCACTTTCACACATACAGAATGGGAAGTGACTGTCTAGGAAGGAGTACGGCAGAAAGGGATCTAGGGGTTATAGTGGACCACAAGCTAAATATGAGTTAATGTGACACAGTTTCAAAAAAAGCAAACACGATTCTGGGATGCATTAACAGCAGTATTGAGAGCAACACGTGAGAAGTCATTGTTCTGCTCTACTCTGCGCTGATTAGGCCTCAATTAGACTACTGTGTCCAGTTCTGGGCACCACTTTTCATGAAATGTGGAGAAATTGGAGAAGGTCCAGAGAAGATCAACAAAAATGATTAAAGGTCTAGAATACATGATTTTGAGGGAAGACTGAAAACACGATTCTGGGATGCATTAACAGCAGTATTGAGAGCAACACGTGAGAAGTCATTGTTCTGCTCTACTCTGCGCTGATTAGGCCTCAATTAGACTACTGTGTCCAGTTCTGGGCACCACTTTTCATGAAATGTGGAGAAATTGGAGAAGGTCCAGAGAAGATCAACAAAAATGATTAAAGGTCTAGAATACATGATTTTGAGGGAAGACTGAAAAAAAAGGGAGTTACTCCCCTCGTGCAGTAACGAGTGTTCTTCGAGATGTGTATCCCCGTGGGTGCTCCACTGTAGGTGAAGAGTTGCCCTGAGCCGCAGATCGGAGCTTTGTATAGCAGTTTCCCCTTGTGGCGGGTTTTAAGGGTGCGAGCTCCACACCCCGGAGCTCCCGCCCGCGCCCCGGGTCGGGGCCGGCGGAGTGGGGTGGGGCTCCACGAACCCACCGCCTTTTCTCACTTCAGTTATCCCGTCCTCCGGGGTCCATGAGTGAGTCCGGTCCCGGGTGCGATCACCCCTCGCCCTGAGTGGGGCCGGAGGGGCTCGGCGGACCCGGGCCGGACCCCCCCCGGCGGCCCCCGGGCGGGGGGCCGACCGGGGCGCCTGGGG